TCGCCGCGCGCCACGCGACGGCCGCCGAAGACGCGCGCACACGCGCCTCGCCGCCCGCCGTGGCGTCAACGCCGCCGTTCGCGTCGCGGTCGCCGCCGGCGGGCGGACTGGAGCGGGCGCCGGCGCCGCGCGGCTCGAGCCGCACCGCACCAGCCGCGGGGTCGCCGCCCTTCGCGGCGCTCGCCGCGGCAGGTCGCGCAGCACAGCCTCGGGCAGAGCCCCGCCGCCCACGTGCGCCATGGGTGAACCGCGCCGCGCCCGGCGCCACCACGCCGCCAGCTCTGGGGGGCAACGCTGCCGCTGGCCGGCCACCGCGCGCTCTCGCGCGCGTCTCGCGCGCCGCGCCGTCGAGCGCCGACGACCCGTGGGTCGCCCGGCGCGGAGCGGTGCGCATCGCCGCAGCGGATCTCGGCGATCCCGGCGCGCCCGTGCCCCTCGCGCCACTCGCGCACCGCGCGAAGGTCGACCACGCGGCGTCACCCTGCGCGGAAACGTGTGGCCTCGGGCGGACCCCGGACCGCCGCGCGACGCCCGCAGGCCGACCGTCGCGACCGCGCGCGCGACCCGCCGCCCTTCGTTTTGGACATGGCTGCGGACGAACGCGCGCGCCTCCCGCCGCCGCGAGCGCGCGCCGCCGGCGACGCGGACGGGGTTTCCGCCGTCCGGCGGGCCTGCGCCGCCTGGACCCGCGACGACGCGCCCGTTGCGTGGACCGCTATGCGGCTGGCCCTCGCGCACCTCGCGTAGGAGTAAGCGCCCCCAGTCCCGAACGGCATCGCCGCATCCGAGATACTTGGTCCCGCTCAACCCACTGTGCGCCTCGTAAAACGGATCGACCAAATTCGATTCGGGGATGATAAAACAGCGAAGGGGGGCGTAGGGAAGCGTCACGGGAGGACACGACTAGGGCGGAGGCGTACGCGAGCACGGCGACGAAGAGGGCACGACGACGTAGGGCGGCTACTGCTCGTAGGCGACGCCGAAGGTCCCGCCGGTGCCGCGGGCCGCGCGGGCGTAGGCCGCGTCGCGGGCCCGCTTCGCGGCCGCGTCCCGGCCGTAGTCGGGCCGCGGGATCGACGACGGGGCGCCGATGAGGCCGAGGCCTTCGATCTTGATCCGCGCGACCGCGCGCACGGAGGCGACGCCCCACTCGCGGTAGAGCCGCTGCTTCTGGATCGACTTCGCGTGGTCGAGGCTCGTGGCGCCGGCCTCGACCCAGGTCCGCTCCGCGATCTCCTCGGCGGCCATGGCCAGGACCTCGTGGGCGCCCTTGCTCAGCTCGCCGAAGTAGCCCGCCACGAAGCCGACGACGGAGCCGAAGGATCCGAGGCGGCGCTCGAAGGGACCCGGCGAAGCCTCGTCCGGGTAGAACTTCTTGTCGAGCTTCTCGGCGTGCAGGCGGTACTCGCGGTTGATG